ATCTGCTTAAGAATCATAACCGGGGCGCCCTGGTACGTCACAAACATGGCCCTACATTCAGACCTCCATCTCAACACAATTAAAGAAATGGCAAGATTATATTATAAAAGATTCTGGATGAAACTTGAATCCAACCCCAACAGATTAATTCAAATGCTGAGCGCAAACGCCTTGCCTGGCAATCCAGTAAGGCGTCTTAAGAGAGAATGGTGCAGAGACCTATTATCTTTATAAATGATTTAATCTTGTTAACATTACGTAATTAAAATCCTAATTATTGTACAAACTACTATACCATTATATATTATTATTATTATTATTATTATTGTTAATATTATGTAATAAAACTAAATATAAATTTTCAATAGCAGACGACTCCAATGGGAGCGATCTCACAGGCTACTAATGTTAAGTATTTTATATATGTATATTTTCTAAACTATTTACTTATTGTAAAATTTTTTTTTTTACAGATTGTAAATTTCATAAATAAAAGAAAAAAAAAATAGATTAGTTAAATATGCATGTTGACATTCGAAAAAAACAATTTTACACCCCTGTAACATATAATATTTTATAACACATTTCTCAATAAAGAGGATCTACATTCATTTCTTTATATCTACTTGTCATTATTGTTCTAAACCCTCGGACTCTACAATCACGATAGAACGTCGTCGCGTTTAACTATCTTTTTGAGTTACTACAATATACAGATTAGACCTTGACATCTAGCTGATTATTTCAAATGCATATTACTTTTCAAGACTTTCTTAAGAAAAATATCGAAAATCCGCCAGTGATAATGACAAGTAATTATTTAATTTATCTTAAACAATTAATTATTAAATTGAAACTTAATATACCAAAAATATAAGACTAAAATATAATTTTATCAACTAGAGTAAATTTTTGTTATTAGTGTCAGTGATATAGATAGAGTATGTGTTAAAATAAACACAAATGTGCTTAGCCATACGAGAACCTAAAATTTGGCGTTGATGTGTTAACTTATGAATGACTATTGTTAAACTACGTCTATATAAAATAAATTGTCAACTCATCTACCTTTAAAATAAATATTCTAACTAAGTCACTTATTTATATAAATATTTAGCTTAATTATTTTCAGTAATATAAATTTTTATTAATAATTTTTATTTTTCATGTTAAATGAGTAATATTTATATTTATTTATTTATTTTTGAATAGAAGCATCAATATTAAATCAAATAAGGAAAGAAAAAGTAAAATAAATTTGATATACAGTCAATTTTTATAAAATATTTTATTTTACTATTGTATTATTATAATCTACATGACTTCATGTATATGTATGATTTGGTTTAAAATAAATAAAATTATTGACACTAGTGTTAAGTTAGAGTTAACAGACGAACAGCTTTTCCAAGCATTTGACAGAATTACTTGTATTAGTAGGTTAAACCATAAAACCATGAGTTGAATACGTTATTATTTTAAATATTATATTTTATTCAATACAATCAGTAATTTTGTTTATTACGTTATTATTTCTATATACTGATTTAGATAAGAAATTTTTAAAAGCAAGTAAAAAAAAAAAACGGTAGCACAGTATGCATAGTTGGGACAAGTATAGATGATATCTGTCATTGATTTAAATCACTATCATAAGTACGCTTCGATGCAATTCTGTAGATAGTGATAAATTTTAAAAGTTTCAAATCGCATATCAATCTAAAAAATTAAAGGATTTTTTCCAATATTTGGGGATTATAAGTTCAACAAGATTAATATTGCAATCTATTAATGTAATGGCCATTAAAATTATTGAATTTTAATGATAATCAAACGAACTTTAAATTTTTTTCTAACTAAAAAATAATTAATAAAAAAGGCAACAAAATCGCTCGCACGGGTATGTTTGAACCTCGTACCCCAAGCGTTAAAGACATAAGTATTACCGTTTCAGCAATTACGTCCCATTCGTGGCTCAATAAAATGTTAATTTAAGCTAGTTCAAATTTTAAAGTTATTTTTCTCGACTTAAAAGAAGTAAAAAAATTTAAATAAGTATAATTTTCTATGTTATGTCAAGTAGATTTATATAAAATTTATGAAAATCTGTACACCCCCTTGTAAGGTATTTTAAAATAAAATAAAATACAAAACCCACAATTTTAATATAAATACAGCATATTTCTTAATACGATGACTACTATCAACATGAAGACCAGGGGTCAAATTTTTTTTTTCAAAATAAAGTATATTACATAATATACTTTAAAATAAATAAAATATAAAAGTGTCAATATTTCCATAACATTTTCAAAAGTTAAGTTGAAAAAGTTCTACTTTCTATACGCATTTTTAAAATTTGATCTTCCCTTGTATGAACGGAAATGAAGGGTCTGATTTAAAAAAAGAGTATATCGAAAGAAAGGGATATATAAAAAGTCTTTATAAAAAAATAATAATGTTGATTCATACATTTTTCAAAAATTTATAGGAATATAAATTAAAAATATAAAATCGAGAATTTTTTCAAAGAAATCATAAGTTTTTCTTTAAAAGTTGTTATTTTACAAAATAAACACATCATAGTAAAATTAATTTTAATTTTGTAAATTGTATTTAAATGTTGCTAAGTCAATTAAAATAGGTTTATAAATGATATTGCAAAAAATATAGCTACAATAAGAGTACACTTTAAAGGGAAATATATTATATTTTTAATATTTTTAATATTATTAAAATTTCTTTTTTTTAATAAAATTATTATATAGTTTTAAAAACTATATCATATATACTATTTAATGAAATTAACTATCATAAGAAACGCTTCAAAACAAATTTGGAGATAGAAGCTACAAGAAACTTCCATCAGAATTAAAAATATACTTTTCAGAATCAAATTCTCACGCAAATCTAAAAGTAGACTTTTTCTAACACTTCTAATTTTTATAATATTAGTAACTAGTAAAAAATGAGTATTTATATATAAAAAAAATAATTAAAACAAAAAATATTTCTTTTCAAATTATTTTTAATTTTGATTTTTAATATGTCAAAATCATTCCAAAATGACAATTAAACCTATTTTTTTGATTCTTTAAAATTTTTTTTGTGTAAGTTTATAATAGAAAAGAGTTGAATTTATTAACATTAACTTTTAGAACAAATTGCAAGTTTGAAATTGACATTATTAAATAGAAAATTTTATGAGAATTGAAAAAATGTTATTTTTAAGATTAATATGCAGTCAGTAAATTTTATAATTATTATTTAGTAAATTATACAGTAAATTTATCAAAAAAGCTCAATATTTGTTAAATTTTATTTTTTTTTTTAATTAAGCATATTACATAAGTTTTAATTTGAGCTGTATATAAAAGTGTCAGTATTTCCGAAACATTTTCAAAATTTAAGTTGAAAAGTTCTATTTTCTACACGCATTTAAAGGTTGGACCCTACCCGTATGAAGGGAAATGATAAAAAAATAAATAAATACTTTCTCAGCTTGGCATCAAAGCTAGTATAAAGTGGATGAAGTCAGAGACTTCTCTTCTTTTTCTTCGCTTTATCCAAACTACTTGGAGTCGGCAAGTCTTATACTAAACTCCCACTTGACATGAAAGGAGCGCATCACAGTAATACAAAATTATAACAATATATATAATCAAATAAAAATATCATTATAACTATGTTTAATTATTTATATGTTTAGCATCAAAATTTTTTTAATTAGATTTCCGTAGATAAAATAATATATTTTTAATAAACTAAAGAAAATAAAGTAGCTTCAATATTAGTTGTTAGATTATTTTAAAAACGATATTTCACCTTAATTTAAATGACAACGCCAACAGTACAATATGATAATGAATACACTTGTTTGATTCTAACTATAGATATTCACAAATTTAAAAGTTAATACAACAAAAAAAATTTAATGTATAAAATATACATTAAAAATGTAATGTATGTAATTATATAAAAAATGTAAAGCTAAAAGATTAATTTAGTATATAAATGAACAATGTTTTATTTGATTAAAAATACAGAATATATAAGTTATTTATATTTCAGCCATCATCTTCGTTTCTGTAAACCGCTGGCGTTTTTATAGTTCTCTTAAGGCGCTACCTCTACTAAATGACTATCTTTACAAAAGCGAAAGCCAAGTATATTTTCATGACGATAATTATATTGTAACATTTGAAAATATATAGTGTCTTTTAACATCATCAATTTTTGATCTAATGTACTATTGTTGTCATTAATAGTAACTTGAGTTGCTAAATAATTTTCCGAAAAGTATTTCTGGTCATCTGTTATGTAATTAGGAACAGGTCTAAAATGTAATGCGAAAAATTTTTTTATTGAGTTATACGCGACGCTTAATTCATCTTTAATACATTTATTAGTTTGTGAATTACAATTTGACAAAAATTTAAGATGATTTAAGGCAGTAATTACCTCGTTTCTTGGATTATCACAAATCAAGAAACGACCTTTGTTTTTAAATTTGGCAATAAAACGTAATGCGTCCAACATATTTCCAAAAGTCTCATGATATTTAACTAAATTATTTAAAAATAATTTTTTACATTTTTCTTCTTCTCTTTCACAAAGCTCCCAAAACCCTCTAAGAATATCTATGATTTTAATAAGCTTATGAGCGTGTACGGCGCTGTATAATAAAAACAATTTTTGTACTTTAATTTTGTAATTTTCGTCCGTAACAATTTTATTTTGAGATTCATCTTTTTTTAATAATTCTGCAATATCGATTATTTGTCCGTCTCGTTTACTTTCAACAACATTGTGAGGCTTCAAAAGATCACCTATATTTTTCCATCCGTCGCGATCTAAAAGTACATTCAAATCTTTAAAGTGTTCATCTGCTTTGGTTAAACAAACATAGAAATTAATAACTAACAAATAAAATATACACTTCAGAAACATTTTTGATTATGAACTAGTCTTAGATATTATAGTAATATATGCTTTTACACCTGTAATTTTATTTTGCCAAGATTCTTATAAAAATCAAAATCTTAATTATGTATTTTTATTTTTGTCACACATTTATAACATTAATATGTATTATTTACTTTGTAGGATTATTTAATGAATATTTGAAATAAATCTTCCCTTCATATGATGTTTTCCATAAAAAAATTATAATTTATCTGTTGATGTTCAAATACATAACAGATGTATTTTAAAAATATTTCTAAGTAATTGCTACACTAAATTTTTTTTAAATAATAGAATATACTATGTTGTTTTAGTTGCCTATAATTTATATTTATCATGCTTGTTATTCAATATATTTTGAGGTTATGAATACATAATTGATATAAGTTGTAAATATCTTAATAATATTTGTTAAAAAAATGTTCGTAATTAAAAAAAACTAAACAAATACTATTGATTAAATCTATGCCAAATCATCCAGAAGTAGTTTTACGATTACCTCATTTTTTTCTTAAATTTTCAGGGTTTATTCTTTATACTATAATTAGATTAAAACAATTTTTTTTTTTATGACCTTTTAATTTTTATGGTTATTGTTAGATACACATTAATGTGAGGTGATTCGATACATTTAATTTAATATGAAAACACGGTAAGTGAGGGAGAGCAGGTCAGTCGATCACATCATACACGTTCGTGTTTGTCACAACGGGTATGCCGCTGACACAACGCAATTTGTTTTTATTTTTTTTTGTTCTGTAGCCGTCTAGTATTACGGAGATTTCGCGTTTTTTATATAATGTACGCCGCGACCTTCAATGTTTTTTCCCACTAAAAAAAAACCACCACCTTCGTAACGGTACGGCGGCGCTGCTGTTTAGACCGGTCCCTGTGTGTGTGACAGTGGTCTTGAAGAATTCATTCGCGCTCAATTAGTCGGCCGTTTCGGTAATATCGTCACCAGGTTTCTTTTGGGTCGAGTATTGCCTTGTCGCCACATTGTTCAATTTGAGCTACTCAACGGCTTGTTATATGTTACGGTGTTTTTTTGTTGCCTTCCCTGCATCTGATGTGTTCCAGTGTTCATCACCTTCAGACGGCAGTGGGTAATTACTAAGAATTTTTTTTTATTGTTTATTTTAACGGATACAGTCCACATAATATATGTATTAGTTATAAGAAAGGGGATATATATGTTATTTATTTTATTAGTAATTTGTTCTAATTTCATTTTATCATTGGTTCTTGTTGTTTATTATTATTTTTCTATCATAACGGAAATATCAGATTGTGATTATATATATATATGTTGTTTTTCTTTCTATCTATAGTATATTGTAAGGCTCAATTTCCACAATTTTATATTCTCCTTTCCTTCCGCTAAGGCATGCCCAAAAATACGTATGGTCAATCGTATTTATTAAACAAACAAAAAGGTTACAAAATCGCAAATTGCCGATACTAAAGAAAATATAGCCGGCATTGCACATTTTGGTCCATTCGGGACGGGATATTTTGAAAAATTGTAACATTATCTTGTTTGAATTTTATTTGGTTGCCGTTGCGTGGGTATTTTGATTAGTGCCTATTGTGGCTTATAATTTATATAGCATTTGATTTGCCGTCGTTGTGAAAAACAAAAGACATTACAATGCCGCGTAATAAGAACGTCAACATTGTACCGGAGCAATCGCGAGTGTTGGTGCGTGCGCGAGCCGCTCGGGACGGTATAGTGCGGTCGGTACGGAACGTGTATACTCTGTCGGAAGAGGCGTCCATCGACGCGTCTAAACTACAATTATTTGTGTCACGCGCGGACACGGTAGAAAAATACACAATGCAATTTGAAGCACAACAGGATGCAATACTAGACGCGCTTGTCGATATCGATCGCGTTGAAGAATTCGAATTAAAAGACGCGGTTATTGCTGATGAATTCGAACAAATGTGCGGAAAAATTAAATGTGTGTTATTATCAACAAAACCGGTTTTTCATGTGGAACAAGGGATGAATAAAAACGAAACGTCTGCCAGACCCGTGCACGCAGTTTCTTTTCCGAAATTTGATTTGCCTAAGTTTGACGGAAATATAACAGATTGGTGCTCTTTTCGTGATACATACGAAGATCTGGTGCATAATAATATAGAAGTTCCCGTTATCATGCGCTTTCATTTATTAATGTCGTGTTTGTCCGGTCCTCCACTGACGATAATAAAATCTGTGCCACTAACGGCGGATAATTATATGATAGCGTGGAATGCATTAAAGGCCCGTTACGAAAACAAACGATTACTTGTCACAAAACATTTAGACAAAATATTCTCGTTCAGTCCGATTAAAAAGGAATCTATTTCGTCTTTGTCGCTTTTTATAAATACATTCCGTGAAAATATTACGGCCATTGAAAAACTCGGAATTGAAGACGTTAGTGGTTTCATTTTGTTTTACATCGGTGCTCGTGCACTTGACCACGAAACACGGCGGTTGTTTGAGGCGAGTGCATCACATTCGGATATGCCAAATTTAAATACTCTATTAGATTTTGTGTCTAAGCGCATACACATTTTGGAGAATATTGGTACTATGGATGAAAAGAGGGAAACAACGATCAAAACCATTACTAAGAAGGGGCAGTCCACAGGCAAATCGTCATTCGCAGCCACTGCAGCGCCATCAAGGTCAAACATGTGTGTATATTGTGAGCAAAGCCATTTAATATATCGTTGTTTCGCATTCAAAAGAAAATCAGTACCAGAAAGAAGAAAGTTTGTTATTAATAAGGGGCTATGTTTTATTTGCCTGAAATCCGGACATTCGGCCAGTAAATGTACCGATGGTTTTAAGTGCAAAAAATGTGAGGGCAAACATAGCACTCTTCTTCATGAAGAAAAGATAGGTTTATCTGAAGACAACGCGAAAGTTGAAAGGGATAGAGCCAGTTGCACAGTTATAGAGGACAAGATTTCAGATACACCACAAAAGTTTTTGGGCTCAACACACGCGGAAGTAACCGTGGTGCTCGGTACGGCAATAGTGCGAATTAAAGATACGGCGGGAGAATGGCAAGCCGTTCGTGCGATGTTAGACAGCGGATCGCAGGTGTCAGCGATCACTACCGAATGCGCCAACAAACTCGGTTTGAAAAGATTAAAAAGCCGTTTGGAGGTTATTGGTTTAGCGCAACACCCGGTCACTCGTGTCAAAGGCGTGACAAGTTGTACGTTTGTTCCCCTAATGTCTCATGAACCGAACTTCATGGCTTCTAACATAGTCATATTACCTCAGATCACAAAGGTTATGCCTAGTGTTAAATTACCAATCACCGTCCGGAACCGTTACCGGCATCTAGTTTTAGCCGATCCGGAATTTGACGTTCCAAATTCGATTGATATGTTAATCGGAAGTGACTTATACCCGCTGTTACTTCAGACGAAATCGGATATAATTCACAGCCCTGGTTTACCATCAGCTATGAGCACACATTTGGGATGGATTATTGTTGGGTCAATCCAGGAGTCGACAATGTCACCATTAGTCTCATTGGCGTTGAGAGCGGAGTCGACCATTGAAGATCTAATGCAAGGTTTTTGGGCAGTCGAAGAACCATGTGGTCCGATTGTTCATACAACAGAAGACGAGTTGTGCGAGAAGTGGTTTACCAGTACATTGACGCGTGATCTAACGGGTAGGTTTTGTGTAGGTCTTCCTTTCCGACAAGAAGTATTTGGACAAGTTTCTTCGACAGCTAATGAGTTTGTGTCCTCTGATTGTCAGCCAAGTTTTACGTCCATCCATAGTTCATACGGTCTTGGGGATTCATATTCTACTGCTCTGAAACGTTTGTTCAATTTAGAATCAAGATTGAGTAAGGACGCTAAATTGTATAATGCTTATCGCGATTTCATGGATCAATATCTAGCACTAGGTCATATGAAGCTAGCAACACAATCAGGAAAATATTACATTCCCCATCATGCCGTGGTTAAGGAAGATGGTAACAATCTTAACTTACGAGTTGTGTTTGATGCTTCTGCTTCAACGACTTCAAGGCGATCCTTGAACGATGTTTTATGCGTAGGACCCAAGCTACAAACGAGTATTGATGAAATTCTTCTTAAGTCTCGTCTTAAGAGATATGTATTTACGGCCGACATAGTCAAAATGTATCGGCAGATTCTCATACGCGCGGAAGATTGCGCTTATCAACATATTTTATGGCGCAGGTTTCCGACGGAGGAAGTTCAGGATTTCGAGCTCCTCACAGTAACATATGGCGTCAGCTCAGCTCCCTACTTGGCAATTCGATGTTTACATGAACTGGACGCTACAAGTTGCGTCAATTACCCACGGGCAAAAGGAGTACTTACCAACACCACCTATGTTGACGACATTATTACGGGCGCAGACACAGAAGATGAACTCTTACTAGTCCAACAAGACGTTATAGATTTACTTCACTCATGTGCGTGCGATTTAAAAAAGTGGTCTAGCAACAGCCAATCTGTTTTACATCGTGTACCCGCCGACGATTGCGCGTTACAATTGTCTTTTGATCCTAAAGATGACCATTCAGTAAAGGTTCTCGGCTTACACTGGGATACTCAAAAGGATGTCTTTGCTTACCACACAAATATTAGTGTCGCACCTAAAACAAAACGGGGCATTTTATCAACCATTGCACGATTGTTCGATCCCATTGGCGCACTTGGACCGGCGATTATTTGGGCGAAGTGTATAATGCAACAGGTCTGGCAAGAAAGGTTGGGATGGGATGTCACTCTACCTACACACATCGGTGAAGATTGGGATAAGTTTGTGTCTGAACTACCATTGTTACGTAACGTCTCGTTACCCCGGCATATCGATGTCCGTAAGTCAGTCGATGTTCAATTGTTAGGATTTTCCGATGCGTCGCAGAAAGCCTATGCTGCCACATCGTATTTGCGTGTGGTTTATGAGTCTGGTGACATCGCCGTCTATTTCTTGTCCTGCAAAACCAAGGTTGCGCCACTTAAGACTAGTAACCTAAGCGCATCGTTATCAATCCCACGTC